AGGAGATCATCCTTATTTGTTATTAATACAACACTCATTTTGTTGACAGAGAAAGATAAAAGAATTTGTTAGTACTTGTATTTCTAATAATAATCTTTTTAGCTTATCTTTTTAAATAAAATATTTATTCTGGTTCATATGAGGGGCCTATTGCATTCTTTTATAATCCATCTTTTCTAATTGTTCAATTTAAATTTTTTCATCTTCTTACGTTTTATTAATAAAACACTAGCTTTATCAGTGGTAATCAAAATATATAACATAGTAATCAATTCATTGTCAGCTTTCTAATGAAGTAATAATCATCCGTCCATCACATAATTACATATAATATGTGAAAGTCTCACAATAACATAATTTACGATTATCTCACAAAGTAAGATTTGTTCAAAGTACAAATGAACGATAACAAAGAGGTTGGCTTCTATTCACGTAGGAAAATAAACAACCCGTATAACATATAAAAGAAGCAAGTGAAATTCATAGTCTACATTAAATATACAAATGCGCCACGTAACAAAATCACAATGACATTTGGGATTATAAAATAACTTAATCCTAGTTTAACTTAAAACCAAGCAAAATGAAATTAAAATGAAAAACAATTATAAAATTTGCCTCGTATGTTGGGAATTAAACAAACATGTATAGTGAAAAATTAGAAGAGGAAATTATGCAACGTACCTTGATTACCTTTTAAATTCAACAACTACGGTTTCTAAAGTCAATCATTTTGAAAATACAATCTTACGTAATTGAACTTTCTAATATCTCTATCTACCGCTACTATTAATCAATTCATATTAAATGTCCAAGATTAATATTTATCGACGAGTCAAAATTGCATATGCAAAGTGACAAGAACTTAAATGCTACGTTAAATGAAATACAATCCTTTCTTAAGAATAATACTATTTAGCAACCATCTATGTGTAGAGCACCCATCTGTGTTATTACGTGATAAATTTATTAATTTAATTGTACATAGTGCTAAATATCATTACTATTTCCTTAACTTGAAAGTGCTGCAACATGCTTGGCATGGCTTATAATTATTTAATTGAAATGCTTAAACTTAGGCAAAGTTTATAATTGTATATAAATTGGTCAAACTCTATTTTTATCCATATATTCAGTGAGATTATCATTTTCAACTTTCTTTTAATAAAATCTTTGGACCATCCAGTAAATGCTTTAACAAGAAATAATATTGATATTTCTCCTGGGAAAAAGATCAACATTTATAAACTAATTTATTCCAAACAATTTCTCACTATAACATGCTGTCCGCAGCTTTTCATACAAATCGACAATTTCTTATTTCTTAGCTTTTCTTTAATGGGTAAAATCTTGTAAATGAATCTCGACTATTATTAGCTTGATTTTAACAGCCTTTCCCTCTGCACCATCTTTAGCCACTTCCAATTTGAATGTATAATTTTTAAACCTCAATTCAGTGTGTATAAACTGATCCATCAATGGTTTTACTTGGTTCTCTCTAAATTGAAGCAGCTGGAGACCGTGTGATCCTGCTCACCATGTCGAGTGCCACACATGGCTGATCAACGGGTACCTGGAAAATCACATAAAATTTAATCAAAAAAGTTCAAATTTTCACCAAAATTTTACTTTCTTGCAAATGGATAGAAGTGAGAATTCATTGATAGACGGTTTCGACACAGAAAAGACCTGTTTTTATGACACTTTCAGTTCTATATGTTAACGGGTGGTCTTGTAACATTTTAATTCCACGCGAATAGACACCCAAATGTAAGCTGAATTAAATGATAGTGATCAAATACAACTATTTATAAAATTCTATAATACATTTTCTCTTCGTTAATTCAATCTATCCAGACTAGCAAATATAGCGGCGTGCATTTAAACGTGTACTACTAGTAATTACTTATTAGTCTTACTTTTCATCAATCTTCAAGTCTTTTATTCCAAGTTTGGTAGGCTAGATTGAGCTGAATTAACTAGAATTAATAAAATTTATTCGTTACTGTCTAATCATATTCAAGAATCATGGGGTCCAAGAGGTCCACCGGACAAACTTAGGTTGCTTCCAATTAATGTACGCAAGACTTGAGATTCGAGACTATGTACCTCGTACATTTTGACTCTCAAGAAGGACTCAAGGTCGGATTAGAAAATGGGTTTTTGCCTTGTTAGAGTTTTCATTCAATTATTTATCAGTAAAAGCGGCCGAATTTTTTATAAATCATCCATGAGACTTAGGCAAGCAGTTGCCCAATCAGGGTGATGGAGAGGTCATGCGTATGACCCCAACTCCATAAGTCATAAACGGCAGTGAGTAAACAAAACCATGGTAGATCTTGACCCAAAGAACGACACCAAATTACAATATACAGAAATTTGACTCTAGTAGAGAGTTTGATCAACTTACGAAGTGGCCAGCTCCAAGAATCCAATAAAAATGTAAATTCCTGTATGATTTTTTGAAACCCTTCGTTATTTTTTCATCCTCACAATACAATGGTGTTCTGTCCATGCTCAAGAATGTTTTCAGTCCATCCCATCTGAAACGGGTAAATGAATAACAAATCAAAATTTGCACGTTTACACAGATTCGAGCATAATAATTCGTATTTTGCGCATCTATTTACAAGTAATAGCATCGTTTATATTATTATCTTACTTGAGCTTTTCGAGCCACGCTTCAGTTCCCTTGGTTGAGCAGATCACATCCAGCTACAACCACCAAATAAATTAATGAACATTGTTTTTCTGTAATTCTCTAATTATATGGCAAAAAAAATTCTTAGTCCATAACAATGCTGCTACAACTAGAGAGTATTACGATATTGTCATCAGTATTGATTAGGCAAGAATATCGTCCCTTGATTGTGGGGTATAATTATAGATAATGAATACTAAAAAATTATAAGAATGCTCTTACTTGACCACTGTACAATGTGATATTGACTCCTTTTGAAAGCAATTCATCCACCTCATTGATCCTCGGCCTCATGAAATCTCCTTCAAGTGCAGAGAAAACAAGATCTGATTGCCCTCCCCATCTGCAAAATCAAACACAGTTTTAGTACTTACATATGGGTTAATCTTCAGACACAAAAATAACTAAACTCACTGGACACCGTCTGGGATAATTTTTAGCTTCTTTTTAATAGGACCATTCATTAGGCTATCAATATTCCCGTCACCACCAGGACTTGGCCTTAAAGAGTTCAAGTATCTCGAGTAACGCTTTTTCGAAATTCCCCGTTTTAGTTCAGAAGCAGTCAAAGATACAGGATCCATCCCTGAATCCAACAGAAAATTGTAGAAATCCTGCAAAAATACATCATCATGTGTGATTTAGAACATTTTTCCTTTGAGGAAAATGATTTTAGTTGCAATTGAAACCATCAAATTGTCAATGGATTGAGTAGGGAAAAGATGAAATTGTACCACTGAGTTGCTGCTGGAACTAATAACGTTCTCGAGTTCGCTCCAAGTTTCTGTTGCCTCTACGAACTTACCGGTATCAAGTTGTTGCTTAATTTGCTGCGCTAGACTGTTTCCTGAAATAATTTGTTAGCTAACAAAAATTTTCCCAACTCTAAGTCACATTTTAGGAAGTAAGAAATGGAGACCTGTTAGACTTCTGTGCACCATCGTTGTCAAGCCTTGAGACATCTTTAAGAAGAGGACCCCATGAGAACTACAATGAACACCTTAAATTTAATACAACTTCACTTTCCCTATGTAGTAAGAGAATTAAAATATCTTCATTTAAATTTCATACCACAAAATCTTCTGGAGAAATCCAAGTGTCCCCCAATGCAATTCCTGCAAATAGAAAGAAAATTCAATGTATGTTTCATCCTCATTATTGGACATGGTTGAATTTGTTTTACCGTTCAATTGTTCGTACCAAAAGTGTAATCAAAATTTATGAACTCAGCAACTAATTTAATACAAGATTGAAATTTGATCCTTTTTTCACATCTAAATTTGAATTTCGTCAACCTAAGATTCCAAAATTTAAAAAAAAAATGACGATTACCTCCAAAATTGAGCTTCAATTTTCCTGCCTCCATAGCCTCTAGTGCTGATAATCCAAGAGTGACAGCAAATTTTCCTCCATAAGACTCTGCCACTAAATAAAGTGGACTCTTTTGAAGACTCTCATTTCTATTAAAGATTTCTATCAACAATGTAGTTAAATCATTTGCAGCTTCAACATCAGTTTTAACAAACAGATTCTTGTCATCCTGCTCGACAAAACTATATCCAGTCCCAACAGGATTATCCTATATGGAAAAAATAATAATAAAAATAAAAAACAATAAAAAACAATAAAAAATTAGAAAAACAATTAAAAAATCAAGATATTGTAATTTTGTGGATACATAAAGAATTAAATGCTTACCACAAATAGAAGATCAGCTTTTCTCAGCCATGTGGAATTTCTAGGCTTCAAAAAAGTGTCTAA